GAATGGATTTTTCTCACTAAGTCTTAGGAGCAAGAGTTGTGTCCTGGATTTAAAGATCTGAAATTGAAATCATTGTCAAAACTTAATGCTTATGTTCTTTAAAATAATGTGTAATCTAGTATGAATGAAATACATGGATTCTCAGACCCTGTGTTTTTTCTTTTAATCTCATAACATATATCAGAATTTTTAAATCTAATGCTTTATTGTAGTAATGTTCTAATATGCTAATTCTATATTCTAATTTAGAAATTTATTACCCTGTTTAGCAATGTAAATTCAAAGAAGTCTTCTAAAGGCACTGTCATGCTGCTCTGTAGTTTCAGGAGCTTTTATATGCTGATGTTGATGCAGGATTTACTAAGACATTGAATCTCAAAATCTGTGGGGAACTCTTCAGACTCTTCATTATTAGCTTCCATGAAATTGTTCCCCTCTCCTCGTTAAATTAATAATAGAGTACTGTAGATATATCTTTCCTGATCACTGTATTGTTTATGGAGGAATTGTTTTGTCTTGGGTACTTGTAAACTTATTTGCAGCAAAGTATCAAGTACATCCATATCGTTATTTACCGTCATTTTTTGCAAAATTTTTACATCTGGCATATCTGTCTTTGATAATATACACTTTTAATGAGAATAAAGAGCAATTACAACTGCAATTACATCTGGTAGCACAGTTGACACCTTGTTGATTACCTGTTATCAGTGGCAATAAACAGATTAGCTACCGATAAACACTGCATGACCTCCATTTTTGTGTTGACATGTCGGTATTTTACGAACCCAAGTAGGTAAAAAATCCGGATTTTTTCAAAATCGGTAGAAACGTCAGTTTAAAAAAAATTCGGTAGACAATCGGTAGTGATGGTTAAAAATCGGTAGACTCCCGAAAAATTCGGGAGAGTTGACAGGTATGGAATTTTCTCTTCACCCAAGTATTGTCGTTAAAGCTTGCAGTGCGAGTGGTGCTTTGTACCGCTCGCTGCGCTGGCTATAATCTCACAGTCACTACATGTTACATAGCATGTTCTTGTCTCTTGAGGAATTTGAAGCTTTTAGAAACATATAACATGTATCCTGCATTATAATAATTGAGTTAAGTGATACATGTAACACAGGATTTTATGAAAATTTAGCTTATTTTCATGCACTATCTTACCAGCTCCACAAGTCAACATCTTCCAAGCCCATGCTCATGCTGCACTACCACACAAAATAAAATCAATGCCCATACATAACCCTAAACAGCAAGAGGTAGTGGGTCTACCACTTACATGCAGTTAGACTTACATGAAGTTAGCAATAAAATATCAGAAATACGAGGGCCGTTCAAAAATTACTCGGACTTGTTGCACAGAAAATATATTTGATGACATAATCAAGTAAAAAGTCATAAATAAAATAAAAGAATCTTTTCATATATGATCATCAAAATTTCATATCAAAATATTGTAAATTGGTATCAATTTCAAGTTATTTAACAGGACATCTTATGAAGTCACGGCGCAGTAAAACTTTCAATATCACGGGCATTTTAAAAAATGAGAGCTTTCATTTTCTCAATATTTTCCCTTTAGTTAGTATTTGATACTGTATAGTTTTGGTTACCTTATCCATTCAGAATAAACATCCACATACCATTTCAGATTCAGATTAAAAACTATAAAACTATCATTGTATGTTTTAGTTTGTGTTAAACCCCAAAACTGCAGATATTTCTGAAGTAAAGTTTGACATCAGTTGATCTCGATGACATTCTTAACAGCCAAGATCAGTGTTTTGTCGATGAACTTCTTCCATTCCTCACGGATTGCCTTTTGACTAAGGTCTATCAGTCTAAAATTCTTTTTTACATTTTGTAGAGATGTGTCGGATATTCCGCTGGTTTACTACATGTTTTATTAGGATTATTCTGGGTCTCTATTGGCGTTTTCCCAGCATGATTCATGATTTAATTAATAAAAGTGCGCTGCTCCGTCAAATCACGAGACGTCATTTTTATGCCCCGCCATGAATATGGCCGGGGCATATAGTGTTTGTCATGTCCGTCTTCCGTCCTTCTGCCCTTCCGTCTGTCCTTCCGTCACACTTTGCGTTTAGCTCTGTTCAAAGCTCAGTTTCAAAGAAACTATCCAAGATATTTTTATCAAACTTCATATGCTGATAGATATTGATGAGAGCTATGCAACTGCATCAACATTTTTTGACCTTGACCTTTCCTTTGACCTTAAGCTTGATCTCACTTTTCTTAAATTAGTGTTTAGCTCAGTTTTAAAGATATCATTCAAGACAGTGTAATCAAACTTCATATGTTGATACATACTGATGTAAACTATTCAACTGCATCAACATTTTTTGACCTTGACCTTTCTTTTGACCTTGACCTCACTTTTCTTAAATTAGTATTTAGCTCAGTTTTAAAGATACCATTCAAGATAGTGTAATCAAACTTCATATGTTGATACATACTGATGTAAGCTATTCAACTGCATCAACATTTTTTTATCTTGACCTTTCTTTTGACCTTGACCTCACTTTTCTTAAATTAGTGTCAAACTTCATATGCTGATACATACTGATGAGAGCTATTCAACTGCATCAATATTTTTGACCTTGACCTTTCCTTTGACCTTGACCTCACTTTTCTTAAATAAGTGTTTAGCTCAGTTTTACCATTCAAGATAGTGTTATCAAACTTCATATGCTGATACATACCGATGAGAGCTATTCAACTGCAGCATCATTTTTTGACCTTAACCTTTTTCTTTGACCTTGACCTCACTTTTCTTAAATTAGTGTCAAACTGCATATGCTGATACATACTGATGAAAGCTATTCAACTGCATCAATATTTTTTGACCTTGACCTTTCCTTTGACCTTGACCTCACTTTTCTTAAATTATTTTTTAGCTCAGTTTTAAAGAAACCATTCCTAATTTTTTTTTTTTATCAAACTTCATATGCTAATACATACTGATGTAACATTTTCAACTGCATCAACAATCTTTGTCCTTGACCTTTCCTTTCACCTTGACCTCACTTTTCTTAAATTAGTGTCAAACTTTATATGCTGATACATACTGATGTAAGCTATTCAACTGCATCAATATTTTTTCACCTTGACCTTTCCTTTGACCTTGACCTCACTTTTCTCAATTTGTGTTAAAATGTTGTGTTACTAATATACACTCGGCGGGGCATTCATGTCCTATGGACATATTTCTAGTTGCAGTTGATTTCGTAGGGTATACATCGGAGAAAAATTACAATATTTCTTTTAGTACTTCAAATATTACGCCAGAAATCTAAATACTTAATAATACAACAATAAAAAGAAATTTTAGAGAAAATTGTTGAATAATATCATGAAATATGGAAAATAAATGAATAAAATTTTGGATACCGCATGTTTGTTTTTCAACATTTTTGCCGTGCTCCGTATATCACCATCAGCAGTATCAAAACGGCAATATTTTTATGAGATATTAAATAAAATCAAAAAAATTTAGCAAGAATTTATTGGAATCTTTAAGAAATATGTTCCTGTGAAATTTCAATTCTATAGGACGTCTGTAATAGTAAATAATAATAGAGTCCACATAATTTTTGAACAGCCCTCGTATATATTGAATCCCAAGGTCTGCCTATTTTTTTCTAATATCTGACCGGTGCTTTATCCGAAACTGCCATCTCTGAAGGATAACTTGTCCATAGGACAAATCATCCTCAATCAGAGACAACTGGCCCTTGAATAAGGACAACTTGCCACATTTACAAATTAAGACATCTTGTCCAAGCTATTTTCCAGGTCTGGCATAATCTCTTAAATTGATTTAGCTTTATGGCTTGAATTAGCTAATATATAGCTTGATGAAAATAGTTAGGTTTTAAATAAGCTGTTCAAAATAGCTTTTTTTTTGGTTATATCTTTTTTCACAATAAATAGACTAAAAGTTTCATTGTGATATACAATGACTACGTTGTATATACATGTAGCTAATTCAAACTACATATCTAAAGAGATTGTGCTGGACCTATTTACATGATCAATTTAAATTTAATTTCTTAGAATGGCAACCAAGCATTCTGGAATCTGTATGTATATATTTATTTATTACATATGTAAAAATCATGCATACCATTATAAAGAAGAGTTTGTCATCAGATCTGATGTTAACTGAAGTCTTTTATAAATGCACATTGTTTAAAGCAATATGAGCTGCAACTTTGATGTCAGAAATTTTTGTTGCAATATTGTAAATAACTTTTTCAATGACAGAAAAAAAGAATGTTTATAAACTTCTGTTGTTTATATTTACGATGGAAGAACTATTTATAAGCTTTGATTGAGGCAAAATTACATTATTGTCATCCTGTACAATATTGATTTCTTATATAACACTATATATATTTGATTGTACAGAATCCTTTATTCTGAAACAATTTGAAACTTTATTTCTGTCTAATTGATCAAAAAAGTTTTAAATTACATACAAATTTATCATAATAACACATTTTAACAGCAAAATAAAATTCTCAAAAATGCAGCTCATATTCCTTTAAGAAAGAAAGTTCGCTTGGATGTTGCAGGATTTTCTCTGAGGTTGACAAATATTTCAAACAACGTTTAGAGACAGCGAAAAATTATCCTGCATCATCCACAACAATAAGATTTTTATTTCCATTTACCAACAGCCAAAATAAAATTGATCAGGGTTGGAAGACAAAATTTTCAAGTTGTGATGTAGATCTATGTACAAAAATATCATAATAAGGACTAGTTTATCATAATTTTGGATCAATATATGTCCTGCATATTAACTACAAATTTTGAATTCTGGTAGGAAATGTAAATAAAATTGTCACCTAAGCATTTGTGATTTAGCAAAAATCTTTGCAGAAGTCAATCACTCCCACACCTGCACCATATTAGATCTAGATCCTAAAAAGTTCTAGCTTTTTAGAATTTTTAAATTCTTTTGTTTACTTTTGTAGATTAAAAACAATGGAATTTAAGGTAACTGAGCCATTAAAAGAGAGAAATAAGACAAGGAAAGCAAACAAACATGAAGAGGATGAAGCTTCAAACTCGGTAAGATTTATGAGCTTATATTTACATTTCAAAATATTTTCCTTTAAGATTCTTTGCGAATTAGAGAAAGTTCACTTTCTCATGAACTGTAGTGGGATGAGTAAGAATATTTCCATTGTGACATAATTGAAGTAAAAAAATAGTGCAAACTTTATTTTTTCAAAAATGATCGTTGAATAACAAAAATATGTTGCAAGTCATCAGAAAAATAATGTAAATATAAGATGTGAATTTAATTTTTGAGAATTTAATTCATGAGGTACATGAACTACGACGCTTCATGCCTGCATATATATCATGAAGCGCTAACGTGCTTCCTGAAATATGCTGGCATGAAGTGTTGTAGTTCATGTCCTCATGAATTCTCGAAAATTAAATTCATCTCTTAATTCAACCTACCTAACTCACCTGTATAAGGTCAAAGTCATGAGCTTATGTTATATTCATGTCATCAACATTGTCTGGGTGTTATATTCATGTCATCAACATTGTCTGGGTGTTATATTCATGTCATCAACATTGTCTGGATGTTACATGTATATTCATGTCATCAACATTGTCTGGATGTTATATTCATGTCATCAACATTGTCTGGATGAACTGTAAACATACTTTTTTCACTGTGTTTCTGTGGATTCACAATTTCTGTTTAATCTCGGTGTAGAAAATTACGCAGTTTTCTTGAATTGCCACTGTATGTCTTAAATGTCCTGAAGATGCACTGGGAAAAATCTCGGCAAAAGTTTGTGACCGCATACCTAGCATTAATTAATACCATGTGGTGAAGAGTACTTCTACTGTATGTATAATTTTTCTGCTTTCTGTTTCTTGTAGGACTCAGACAGTGATACACCAAGCTGCAGTAAGGCAAAGAAACTCCCACCATCATCTCATTCGTATGATACTACTTCCAGTAATGATGAAGAAAATACAGATTCTTGTGAAAGTAATGAAGATGGAAACTATTCAGCAAGTAAATGTACATTTGCTGATCTGCAGCTCTTAAATATCTTTTATGAGAAAACTCCAGAATCCATGGAAAACTTTATGAGAGAAGTGAAAAATGCTTTTATGGAAAGGAAAGGTTTTTGTCCCAATTGCAGCATGATGAACAATGTTTTGAAGGAACATCTTAAAAATTTGACATTTTCATATGATTTGACAAATCTTAGAGACCTCCGTGTGTATGGTAACCCTGGCGTAGTAGCAGATAGAGTTACAAAGGAGATAGAGAAATATTTGCAATGGACATGGAAAAAATCACAAGAAATGCTACAAAAGAACCAGTAAGTTAACAGTTATCTGTATCAAAGTCAGGTTTTTTCTATATCATATGAGTGTATTTATACAAGAAAGTGTATTTCACAGGAATTTGATAAGAGTTGTTAGCTCCTCAGAACTTGAGGCTCAGGGTGAGCTCTTTCTGACTAAAATTTCTCTGTCATTCATATGGTCTGTCTGTAAATTTTTCACATTTTCAAATTCTCCAGAACTAATGAACCAATTTCAGTCAGATTTTCTGCATATCATTCTTTGATGTGGAAATATATAACTTTCTCAATAATGACTCAAATTGCTAAGAGAAAAAAAAATTGCAAATAAGGAAAAAATGATATATATTTCTTACAGATTTTATCAAACGTTGGATACATCTATGCAGGAAAAAGCTCAGGAACTGATATTTTCATTAAGTTTTCCAGTAAAAACATTTGCAGGGGAGACTATTCAACTTGTCAAAAAAATACTTTTTGGAAAGCTAGAAGAAAAGTGGAGGTCTTCAGATGAAATGGAGAGAGGGAAAGGAAGAAAGAGAAGTGAAAGAGCTAGAGTACGGTGCAGAAGGTCACATGGTCAACATGCAGATTCAAAGATTTCATATAAAGCAACCACTGAAAATTTTTTCCAGCAATACTGTGAGAAATTTGCAGGGCTGTTCTTTTTAGTAAAAGGGTGAGTATATTTACATCATAATCACAAGGCACAAGTTGACTTTCTAGAATAGTCCTTTCTTCTAACATTTGGTCTAAAAATCTACAGCATGGCCAGAGGAGGAAATTTTTAACTCTAGGTTAAGTGTCAAGGACACTCTCTTAAGTTTCACTTTTTTTTTTGGACACAAAATAATCGCTTGTTAAGCAATTATTTCTCAGCTCACCTGAGCCAAAGGCTGAAGTGAGCTTTACTGATCAGTGAGCATCCCTCTGTTGTGTGTCCATTAGGTGTGTTCCATAAATTCACAATTTCAACTTTTTATTCAAACATTCTACATACCATCTACAAGTAAAGGGGATTCAAGTTCATTCAAATAAGGGCCACAACCTCTTTCAAAGGGAGATAATTATGATTGGTAGGTTGAGGAAGCAGCAGGGTATCTGAGATTTTCATCTTGGAAATATGTAAGAAAAATCTCTACAGATCTTCTTCTCAAGAACAGCAGTGCCATTCTTCTCAAGAACAGCAGAGCCATGTTTAATCATGTTGATAAACAAGCATCCTCCGGTAGTGTAGATTCTTTCTTTTTATCAAATCATGGTCCCTGTGAGAAAGATTGGCCCACATTAAATCATGGTTTTACAAGGATATAATGAAAAATCTTTAAAAGATCTTTTAAAAATCTGTAGGGCTATTATAATTATTTTAGTCATTTTTCAGATTCTTCCTTTGTTATTTTATAGCATTAAAAAATATATAATATTCTGAATTATTTATTGATAAAGTGAAAGGTTTTTTTCTTCATTATCTTCGATAATTTTAAAGATTCCCAGTACATGTACTAGATTTGAAAAAGGTAAACAATAAATAATATGAATAAAAAATAAACAAGGCTTGCAAGGAAAACAATAGAGCTTGCAAGATTTTGAACTGTTTGGAGTCTCTGTTATTTATGTTTCTGGTCTTAGTTGTGTATTTAGAGCACTTAATTTTTTCTGTCTTTCAGTGAAGTACTTGAGGGATCCTTTTCTTTTAAGAATCAGATGTTGAAGAGCACACCCGATGTGGTCTATCAGTACCTCTCTGATAGTGGCTATCCTCAAGATCAACTCTTGTTTGTTACAGAGGTAATTATGCTCAGTCCTTAAACTTTTCTGATCATGGCTATCCTCAAGATGAACTCTTGTTTATTATAAACTTATGAAATAATGTTCCTCAAAACTTTCTGATAGTGGCTATCCTCAAATTCAATTTTAAATTTGTATTTTAAATAATTAATTATGCTCCCCAAACCAAGTTTTGGAACATATTGTTTTTATTGTCTCCTATTATTACACGTACAGTCAAACCTCGTTATCTCAAACTTGAAGGGACTGAGAAAATACTTCAAGATAACTGAGGATTTGAGATATCTAGGGTAAAATAATTAAGAAATAAGTAGTTGGGACTTCAAAATGACTTCGGCATATCCATGGTATTCGAGATATCCATGTTCGAGATACCGACGTTCAACTGTACCGGTAGTACTTCCTAAATTTCATGTGGAAAGACCTCTTGAAACTGTTTTTAATAGGCCTTTTTCCACCTTCCTGTTGAAAGATCAATTGATATTCAATTTCTTATTATGAGGATGACTATGAGTCAGATGACTCCTGGATAAATGTGACCACTTTGGCAAGTTTGACTGTTTGTATTAATCCATAGCTTTCTTAAATTTTAGGCAAACAGTGCTGTAGCTTCTGAAGAAGGTACAACATATATGGAACAGGTGGTTGGACAGAATGTTATGGGACAAGTTGGAGCGGAGCTTCTTGGCCAGTCACCACACTCAGTATTTTATCCATTTAGTCTTGGAGTTGTTTGTATGGAAACAAAAGTAAGTATTACTTGTCCAATACAAACAATAGATAAAAGTGAATTCAAGTGTTAAATGATAAATTGATGACTCACATTTTATCAAATGATACAAACATACGGGTGATTATACACTCCTACCCCCAAACCATATGTCTCTTACCCCCCCCCCCTTCCGCTCTGAGGGAGAGTGGGTACATGTATATTGTTTTACCCTTGTGTGTCTGTCTGTAACAAATTTTCATCACAGTTTCAGCAACTACTCATTTTGAGAGCATATATTTATATCAGGGCAGGAGTATTACTATAGTGAGCATTGGCTTACAGACCTTGTTTTCTCTTGTAGTTAATTTTTGTTTTGCTGAAAATAGCAGAGGAGCATTCAGTTAGCATCCAAAAAGGAGAGAGTGGATCAGCAGAGAATCCTGGGAAGATTATTTACACGGAGCCATTTGACATGCTAAAACAAGAGGACAGGCTGAAAATGGCCGAGTTCCTCTACTGGTTAGGATTTGTTCAAGATCTCAAAAAATATGACTTTCTCTAATTTATTTATTAATAGTAGATATATTTTGGGGACTACTTAAGTTTTTTTTATTTGGCTGAAAATGCATTGTTATAAAATGATTATCTTATTTCATATTGATAGATATTTTTATACACTGATTATCATCTCATTATCTTTTAGAACATTCTGCTCTTAAATTTATCATTATTAAAATATTCATGTATTAATTTTCAATAGATAATTATTCAGTGAAATTGTTAAGAATATAGTGAAATCCAATATTGAGCAAATTATGAATAAACTGATTTACAATTAGTATGCATGATTTTTCTTCAATAAAAATATGTATATAATAGAATGATGAAATCTTTCTTGTATCAATTAATTCTAATTGAAGAAATTAAGGTACTTGTTTTCATTGTAAGTAAAATCAAGGACAAAGGAACAGCTTGTTAATTAAATAAAAGTGTAAGAAGTTTGCGAAATTATGTAAATAAATGATCTCCCCTGGTTCATACACAATGGTTTGTGAGAGAATCCCCCCCCCCCAATGAACTTGGGGAAGATTTTGCCTAGCAACATTTTTTTTTTACCTGATTAACAAGTAATTCCTAATTTATTGAATTAAAAAATCATCTCATCTAATACAATTTTACTTGTATTCCTTTCAATGATAATTTGCATTCATCTGATTATTGATTTTTCATTTGAGGCAACACCAAAACTTGTTTAACACAGATCTTGGCTTGCTTTGCACAAATCATAGAGCTCATTGTGCCATTATTTAAAGCCCATTATATTTTGTATGTTTTTTTTTTTTTTTCAACCTCAAAAAATTCTTGAAGAGTCAGAATAACCATGATTTTAGTCCATTTTGTTTGAAATTTTTGTTTGAAATTTGCAATCGCTGTGGCATTTCTTTTTTGTTGAGTGTGTTTTATTTTCTTTTTGAACAAACACATATGATTAAGATGTTATTTTTCATTTTTGAGGGGTGGTTTGGGGGTGGAGGTAGGAATCTATCAAGTGAACACTCATTATTTAAAAGGCGTTTCCAAGTTATTTCTCATCCAACATTCAGTTTTGATACATTCACGTACGTTTTTTTTTTTTAGGTCACCTGAGTCACTCAGGTGACCTATTGCTATCCGTTCTCTTCCGTCAGCGTGTGTCGTGCATCGTGTGTTAACATTTGAACATTTTTAGCTTCTTCTCTGAAACCGCTTAACCAATTTCGACCAAATTTGGCATATAGCATCTATGGGTGAATGGGAACAAAAATTTTGAATTTCATGGTCCCTACCCCCCAGGGGCCTAAGGGATGGGGCTAAAACCACCAAAAATAATGCAATCTTTAAAAATCTTCTTCTTTACTCCTGGACATCAAGCAGTCAAACTGTTGGCATCATTGTAATAAGCATTGAGCCCTCTATCAAAATTTTGAAATTCATGGCCTCAGGGTCAGGGGTTCTGGCCCCAGGGTGGGGCTATATAGAACATATAGTGAAAGTGCATTATTTCTATGAAAATCTTCTTCTCTGCTCCTGGGTATTAAATAAAGTAATTAAGTAAGTAGTTATGAAGATCAAGAGTGCCTCTTCCAAATTTGTGAAATTCATGGCCCCAGGGTCACAGGTTCTGGTGTTAGGGTGGGGCTCTATTGATTATAGAGTGAAAATGCATTAATTCTTTGAAAATCTTCTTTTCTGCTCCTGGGTATTAAATAAAGTAACTAAGTACATACATGTAGTTATGATGAGCAAAAGTGCCTTTTAAAAAATTGTGAATTTCATGGCCCCAGGGTCAGGGGTTCTGGTGTTAGGGCAGGGCTCTATTGATTATATAGTGAAAATGCATTAATTTTTAGCTCACCTGAGCCAAAGGCTCAAGTGAGCTTTTCTGATCAAAATTTGTCCGTTGTCTGTCGTCGTTGTTGTCGTTGTTGTTGTAAACTTTTCACATTTTTATCTTCCTCTCAAGAACCACTGAGCCATATTCAACCAAACTTGCCACAAAGTATCTTTGGGTGAAGGGGATTCAAGCTTGTTCAAATGAAGGGCCACGCCCTCTTTCAAGGGGAGATAATTAGGAATTAGTGAAAACATAATGGCATCATTTAAAAATCTTCTTCTCAAGAACCACTGGGCCAGGAAAGATGAAACTTATGTGGAAACATCCTCAGGTAGTGTAGATTCAATTTTGTTCAAATCATGACCCCCGGGGGTAGAGTGGGGCCACAATGGGGGATCAAAGTTTTACATAGAAATATATAGGAAAATATCTTTAAAAATCTTCTTCTTAAGAACAGCAAAGCCATGATTGGTCATATTTATATGAAAGCATCCTCAGGTAGTATAGATTCAATTTTGTTCAAACCATGACCCCCGGGGGTAGGGTGGGGCCACAATGGGGGATCAAAGTTTTACATAGAAATATATAGAAAAATATCTTTAAAAATCTTCTTCTTGAGAACAGCAAAGCCATGATTGGTCATATTTATATGGAAGCATCCTCAGGTAGTGTAGATTCAAGTTTGTTCAAATCATGACCCCCGGGGGTAGGGTGAGGCCATAATGGGGGATCAAAGTTTTACATAGAAATATATAGGAAAATATCTTTAAAAATCCTCTTCTTAGGAACAGCAAAGCCATGATTGGTCATATTTATATGAAAGCATCCTCAGGTAGTGTAGATTCAAATTTGTTCAAATCATGACCCTCAGGGGTAGGGTGGGGCCACAATGGGGATCAAAGTTTTACATACAAATATATAGGAAAATATCTTTAAAAATCTTCTCCTTAAGAATAGCAAAGCCATGATTGGTCATATTTATATGGAAGCATCCTCAGGTAGTGTAGATTCAAGTTTGTTCAAATCATGACCCCCGGGGGTAGGGTGGGGCCACAATGGGGGATCAAAGTTTTACATAGAAATATATAGAAAAATATCTTTAAAAATCTTCTTCTTGAGAACAGCAAAGCCATGATTGGTCATATTTATATGGAAGCATCCTCAGGTAGTGTAGATTCAAGTTTGTTCAAATCATGACCCCCGGGAGTAGGGTGAGGCCACAATGGGGGATCAAAGTTTTACATAGAAATATATAGAAAAATATCTTTAAAAATCTTCTTCTTAAGAATAGCAAAGCCATGATTAGTCATATTTATATGGAAGCATCCTCAGGTAGTATAGATTCAAGTTTGTTCAAATCATGACCCTCGGGGGTAGGGTGGGGCCACAATGGGGGATCAAAGTTTTACATAGAAATATATAGGAAAATATCTTTAAAAATCTTCTTCTTAAGAATAGCAAAGCCATGATTAGTCATATTTATATGGAAGCATCCTCAGGGTGTAGATTCAAGTTTGTTCAAATCATGACCCCCGGAGGTAGAGTGGGGCCACAATGGGTGATCTAAGTTTACAGAGGAATATATAGGAAAAAATCTTTTTCTCAAGAACAGAAAAGCCATGATTAGTCAAACTGATATGGAAGCATCGTTGGGTAGTATAAAATGAAATTTGTTCAATTGAGCGCCCCCGGGGGTAGGGTGGGGCCACAATGGGGGATCAAATTTTTACAAATGAATATATGGGAAAAATCTTCTGCTCAAGAACAGCACAGTTATTTGTTATATTGATATGAAAGCATTGTCAGGTATTTTAAAATCCCCCATCCCCCCCCCCTCTCTCCCCCATTAACTTTTCAATACTGAACTGATTTTTGCTTTTTTTCCTAGCCAATGTGCTCAGGTGAGCGATGTGGCCCATGGGCCTCTTGTTTAAAAATCTTCTTCTCTGCTCCTGGGTATTAAATAAAGTAACTAAGTACATAGTTATGATGAGCAAAAGTGCCTCTTCCAAAATTGTGAAATTCATGGCCCCAGGGTCAGGGGTTCTGGTGTTAGGGCGGGGCTCTTTTGATTGTATAGTGAAAATTCATTAATTCATTGAAAATGTTCTTCTCTGCTCCTGGATATTTAATAAAGTAACTAAGTACATAGTTATGATGAGCAAGAGTACCTCTTCCAAAATTGTGAATTTCATGGCCCCAGGGTCAGGGGTTCTGGTATCGACTATATAGTGAAAATGCATTAATTCTTTGAAAATCTTCTCCTCTGCTCCTGGGCATTAAGGTGATAAACTAAGTACATAGTTATGATAAGGAGGTAGGCCTCTTCCAGAATTGTGAAAGCCATGGCCCCTGGGTCAGGGGTTCTGGTGTTAGGGCAGGGCTCTATTGATTATATAGTGAAAATGCGTTAATTCTTTGAAAATCTTCTTCTCTGCTCCTGGGTATTATTTAAACAAACTAAGTGCATGGTTATGATGCATAAGGATGCCTCTTCAAAAATTATGAATTTCATGGCCCCAGGGTCAGGGGTTCTGGTGTTAGGGTGGGGCTCTATTGATTATATAGTGAAAATGCATTGATTCTTTGAAAATCTTCTTCTCTGCTACTGGAGATTATTTAAACAAACTAAGTGCATGATTATGATAGGCAAGGATGCCTCTTCCAAAATTTTAAAATATATGGCCTCAGTTTTTGAGGTTCTTGAGGTGTGTGTGTGTGGGGGGGGGGGGGGCTCTATTGATTATATAGTGAAAGAGCATTAATTCTATTAATCATTTATTAATCCTGTCTGCTCCTTAGTGTTGAGCTGATAAATAAATTGATTAGCTATGATGAAAATTGGAGCTTCGAACAGGATTTTTAAATCTTGTGGTCCTAGGGTCAGGGGTTCTGGCATAACAAGGGGGGAGGGGGGCTTTTGATAATATAGTGGAAAAGTGTTAATTCTTTGAAGTCCATGGTTATGATGACGAGGGCAACTCTTCCAAATTTGTAAATTTCTTGACCCTTGGTCTTGGGTTCTGGTGTTAGGGTAAGGCTTTGTTGAATCTGTAGTGAAAATGCATTGTACCTGTGAAATTCTTCTCTGCTTCTGGGCATATCGGAAGCAAACTGAGTAAAAGTTTAAATGATATAAGTAAGTGTATTTCTACCAGATTTTTGAATATCTGGACCATTTGACTAAG